TGTCCTGACATGTCCTGTCTCAACATGTCCTGTCCTGACATGTCTTGTCTCAACATGTCCTGTCCTGACATGTCCTGTCTCAACATGTCCTGTCCTGACATGTCCTGTCTCAACATGTCCTGTCTTGACATGTCCTGTCCTGACAAGTCCTGTCTCAACATGTCCTGTCTCAACATGTCCTGTCCTGACATGTCCTGTCCTGTCTCAACATGTCCTGTCCTGACATGTCCTGTCTCAACATGTCCTGTCCTGACAAGTCCTGTCTCAACATGTCCTGTCCTGACATGTCCTGTCTTGACATGTCCTGTCTCAACATGTCCTGTCTTGACATGTCCTGTCCTGACAAGTCCTGTCTCAACATGTCCTGTCTCAACATGTCCTGTCCTGACATGTCCTGTCCTGTCTCAACATGTCCTGTCCTGACATGTCCTGTCCTGTCTCAACATGTCCTGTCCTGACATGTCCTGTCTCAACATGTCCTGACAAGTCCTTACGTTTTGTGTCCCATTTATTGATACAGTTTGGACCTGGTTCCAGTGTGACCCATGTTGTGGGTCTGACCCATTAACCTGCTTGGTCTCAGGTTCTGACTCACCTGCTCTTACTGTCTTTGCCTCTGAGGCGTGCATCGTGACCTTTGGCCCCCTGCGACTCCCAGGTAACCGTGTCGCCCTGAACCTTCAGCTCAGCGTGGGCCGTTGCTGCATCAAATCCAAAATGAAAAGCTGCAGACAAACAAGGACGTAGTGAGACATCATCTGTTCCCCCATCTTTGTTCACTAACGGCTTCCTGTGTTTACCTCTGGTCTCCATGGTGACGGGCTCGGAGAACTCTCCAGCAGCTGCTTTGTTCTTTGCTCGAACTCGAACAACAACAAACGTAGAGTCAAACTTCAAACCTGGAACAAGAAAACACACCGGTGTTGCTAGGCAACAGAGACGACATCAGACTATGATGTCGTGCGTGAGGTCACATGTGACGTCGGGTGTGTGATGTCASGTGTGATGTCAGGTGTGTGAGGTGACGATATGGAACATTCGTCCCTCAGACGTGGGACGTTTGTCTCTCCGACGTGGGACGTTCGTCCCTCAGAGTTGGGACATTTGTCCCTCAGACATGGGACGTTTGTCCCTCAGAGTTGGGACATTTGTCCCTCAGACATGGGACGTTTGTCCCTCAGAATTGGGACGTTTGTCTCTCCGATGTGGGACGTTTGTCCCTCAGACGTGAGACGTTTGTCCCTCAGAGTTGGGACGTTTGTCTCTCCGACGTGGGACGTTCGTCCCTCAGAGTTGGGACATTTGTCCCTCAGACATGGGACGTTTGTCCCTCAGAATTGGGACGTTTGTCTCTCCAATGTGGGACGTTCGTCCCTCAGACGTGAGACGTTTGTCCCTCAGAGTTGGGACGTTTGTCTCTCCGACGTGGGACGTTCGTCTCTCAGAGTTGGGACGTTTGTCTCTCCGACATGGGAGGTTCGTCCCTCAGAGTTGGGACGTTTGTCTCTCCGACGTGGGACGTTCGTCCCTCAGACGTGAGACGTTTGTCTCTCCGACGTGGGACGTTTGTCCCTCAGAGTTGGGACGTTTGTCCCTCAGACGTGGGACGTTCGTCCCTCAGAGTTGGGACATTTGTCCCTCAGACATGGGACGTTTGTCCCTCAGAATTGGGACGTTTGTCTCTCCAATGTGGGACGTTCGTCCCTCAGACGTGAGACGTTCGTCCCTCAGACGTGAGACGTTTGTCCCTCAGAGTTGGGACGTTTGTCCCTCAGAGTTGGGACGTTTGTCTCTCCGACGTGGGACGTTCGTCTCTCAGAGTTGGGACGTTTGTCTCTCCGACATGGGAGGTTCGTCCCTCAGAGTTGGGACGTTTGTCTCTCCGACGTGGGACGTTTGTCTCTCTGACGTGGGACGTTTGTCCCTCAGACGTGAGACGTTTGTCCCTCAGACGTGGGACGTTTGTCTCTCCGAGTTGGGACGTTTGTCCCTCAGATTTGGGACGTTTGTCTCTCCGACGTGGGACGTTCATCCCTCAGACGTGAGACATTTGTCCCTCAGACGTGGGACGTTTGTCCCTCAGACGTGAGACGTTTGTCCCTCAGACGTGGGACGTTTGTCTCTCTGACGTGGGACGTTCGTCCCTCAGAGTTGGGACGTTTGTCTCTCCGACGTGGGACGTTTGTCTCTCCGACGTGGGACGTTTGTCCCTCAGAGTTGGGACGTTTGTCTCTCCGACGTGGGACGTTTGTCTCTCCGACGTGGGACGTTTGTCCCTCAGAGTTGGGTCGTTTGTCCCTCAGACGTGGGACGTTCGTCCCTCAGACGTGGGACGTTCGTCCCTCAGACGTGGGACGTTTGTCCCTCAGAGTTGGGACGTTTGTTCCTCAGACGTGGGACGAGGACATTTGTCCCTCAGACGTGGGACGTTTGTCCCTCAGACGTGGGACGTTTGTCCCTCAGACGTGGGACGTTTGTCCCTCAGACGTGGGACGTTTGTCCCTCAGAGTTGGGACAGCGCAGTAACTCACCTGAGATGGTGACCTGTGTCTCTCTGATGTCACACATCCTGTCCCAGCATGTCTCTGGGGACGCTCTCAGTGAGCCGTCATGGTTGGTTTGACGATATTCCACTTCGTAGAGTTCCACCGGCRCGTTGTTGGCCCCGTCATCGTCAACCTTCCCGACTGGTTGCCAGGCAACGGTGATGGCGTTGTCACGGACAAAGCAGCGGGAGACGTCGATCTCTGGAGCTTTAGGGACTAAAGACATGCCAGTCGTCATGGAAACCACACTTTCTTTTAAAAACAGTGTCTGTTTCTTTCAGAGAAATAATGATGAGAACAGAGTGAGACACAGACAGGAGGACAGAAACTAAAGCTTCATAAAGGAGCAAATGAAATAACAAAAGGGGGCGTGTCCTCGGACCTGGCAGGAAGTGAAGATGCTGAAGTCCCGCCCTCTCAGTGCTGAAGTCAACAGTAAACTGCGACATGTTTTCTGAGACCACGGGACGAGTCGTCAGCCGGAAAGCCGGAGCCATTGTTACCCTGACAAAAGCAAGGGGCGGGTCCCCACGGATGGGCGGAGCATGTGTTAGTGTTGGGGGCGGGGTTAACATGTTAAAGGCAGGGTTTGCATGCAAGAACAGTCAGAACTTAACTGTTATTGGTTAAAGTGTTAATGTTTCAGCAAAGATCAGTGAGATCATTCATTAAAAGAGTGAACGTAAACAAACAAACAAACAAACAAACAAACAAACAAACAAAACAACAAAGAAAAACCAGCTGCTTTATAAAAGTCAGGTTTACAAATCCAGGATATGAGCTGTAATCCAGACTGAGCAGAAACCTGTTGCTCCACTGAGTCAGCTCTGTTCTAATCTGACGGTTCAGATTAATAATCCAACATGTGACAACAGGAAACATGTTCAGATTAATAATCCAACATGTGACAACAGGAAACATGTTC